ATTAATGTTTGTATTTACATTCATTGGAGAGGAAGAGATTACAAGAGAGTAAGCAGGCACACAATGGGAATACACATTGAAAGCAACGCAGTAAGGCAGCCCCAAGCCCACTCAGCAAAAAGCCGGTGTATTCCCCATTGTGCGCCTGCTTACTCTCTTATAATCTCTTCCTCTCCAATCTCTCCACTCTGCAAGGGGCAAAAAAAAAGAAAAACAAAAGGTCAGGCACAGGACAGTGTGTAGACTGTAATGGCAATCACGTGACTAAGGGATGCTGTGAAGGTTGTAAATGCAGGCATTGATCGTAAAGTTATTTTTTTCAGCACCATCATAACTTTGAATGGTTGTTAAACAAGGCAGTCAGTAAGCAAGGTCTACCTGCATGTGGTTTAGTTGTGAATTTCAAGTTGGCTGTTTCCTAGCACTGGGTTCACATCCAATTTTTTGTAGAGCTGCATGTATATTTGAGATCATTCCCTTGCTGCATGACTCGCTTCAGCTGGCAGACAGGTAGCCTGATATGTTCTGATATAAAACAGCATTCATGCTTCTTTCAATGATGGCAAGTCATCCAAGTTCTGAGGCAGCAAAGCATTCCAGTTTTGACATATTTCCATTCAACATTCCTCCAGAATTCTAGAAAGTAGTCTGTGCTTTTCAGCAAACTTCAGGTGAACGTCACAACTCTTCTTAAATGGTGATTTTGTGATATCCTGATAATTAATGCTATAATTCTTAGAATGATTTTGCCAGGACAGCCATTCTTAAGAATATCCACTATTATCCCAAATCATCTTTATTATAAGACTATGTCTCTGACTGTGGATTTGTGGTGCCCCAGAGCTTCAAAAATGGTTTCATAACCTTCTCTATAAAAATAAGTACCAGTGACTTTATGTTCTTTAGAAACTTCTTTTGAGTATGGCATGATGTACCTCTAGAATCTGTGCTATGAAAACTTTATTGTGATAAGGGAGTCAAAGTTTGTAACACTTATATAGGGCCGGGCTGGCCCAAATCAACCCTAATTGTTTAACAAAGTACTGGCACAATTGTATCTCACTGCCCAGAGTCACTTTGTGTGAGATGGGCAGCTATATAAATACAATAAATAAATAAAATCTTGTTGACCCTTGAACTGAACCAACTAAATGAGGGGGAGGGGATTACATTATCATGCTGGCACATAGCTTGTTGGATTGTTTTATTTATGAAATAAGCACCAAACGTTGGTATTATTTGTTCACTCAGACTCCTCTTACATATCAGTACAGGTAAGCAGTACAAGGTAGTCCTTGTTTAGTGACCGCAATTGGTTCTGGTGACTTGGCTGCTAAGTGAATCAGTCACTAAGTGAAAATCACATGACCATGACTGTGCTTATGATTTTACTTCAGCTTTCCTTTGCTTTACAGTTTCAGAATGATACGACCCCAAACAGTGGGGAAGGTTTCCAGAATTCATCTCACAAGGAAGCCAGGTATAAGGGCAAATCTTATAGTCTTTTTTCCCCACTCCCCCACCCTTTGGAATGCTTACCCAGGCACTGTGATAATTAGCAAGAAGGAATACACATAAAAAGGAATGCGCTAGCACCAGCTGTTTGCCTAGTGCACTTGCAAGCCCCCAACCACTTAGGAAGCAAACAAAAGCCTTTCATGTGAAACTGATTAAGGTCTTGTCAGTGTCAGGCAGCAGCAGGAAGGCAGGTTCTAATCAACTAATTAAGGTCATAGAGCTGAACTTGTTAATTTGCAGTTAGCACTGTTTAGGGACGAGCTGTGCTGCAGAGAAAAGCAGCTCAGCTTGTTTAGGCAATCTCTCTACCTTGTCGGGTGGAGGGAAGCAAAAAACAGCTCAGGCACAGGACAATGTGCACTAACTGACTGTAATTGCAAACATGACTGAAAGAGAGAAAGAGAGAAAGAGAGAGAGAGAGATGCTGTGAAGGTTGTAAATGCAGGCACTAATAGCAAAGTTACTCTTTCATTACTGTCATGACTGTGAATGGTCACTGTCTGAGGCAGTTCCTAACAAGGAAAACCTGTAGATGACATTCTCGTAATAGTCACTTACAAAGAAACAAAAAACTTCAGAAAATCCAAAAGGGGGCAAATACTTTTTCACAGAAGTGTAGTTTCCTGAGGATGAACTAAGGGAATCAGCATATGTGACTAACAGATACTTGTGACCAGCTTTTGATAAGTTACATATAGCTTGATTCTTCCCAACAAGCTTTGGCACAGCCCTTACCACAATCTTATTACAATTTTTAATCTCTTCAGCCTGGTGATTAATAATGTCTGTTGGAGATGATATATTAGCCTTGCGTTGAAACAATTCCACTTGTTGCCAGTTGTTCAATATACTATACAAAGCCTAATGTAGCAATGACCCAAATTTCCTACTCCTTATGGGAGTAAGCAGAGATCCATCAGGCATCTTTTCCAGGTCCTTCTGCAGATATATTTGACAACAATAATTCTATTCTATGATGTGGCCTGTATTGTGGAACAAACTGCTGCTGAAAAAGAAAGGAGGCAACTCCAAACGTCCCTTTTTCACTCACATTCATCTGAGATTTATTTGTTTTAGGTTGCTAATTTTACGGCATTCTATTTTGTATTTGTGTAACTTGCCCAGAACTGCTAGGGTTGGAATAACACACATAAATTTCATTTTAAAAAATAAATGCCTACCTAATTATATCAGTGAGTACAGATAAGTTTCCAAGATCACCCCTATTCTTCCTCCCCCTCCCTTTCTACTCCGCTTGCCTTCAAACGCAAAAGCCAGCAGCTACTTCACACGAATTGACGCTGCCTTAAAAAGATATTGCCACTATGGATTTAGGGTCCCCCCATGAACAGCACTGCTGCTCCCCTGCCTCTTCAGTATCCGCTAGGCCCGCGTGCTCTGCAAAAGAGCCGCGGCGGCGGTGGTGGTAAGGCAGCCGGAGCCCCTGCCCTCCTTCCCGAACAGCCCCCTGCCCGCGTCCCCGCTCCTCACCACCATCATCGCCAGCACCTCCTCGCCTCTTCCTTCCTCCTCAGCGCCCCTCCGCCCTACCCCGCACTGACCCCATCTCTCTCTGCCTCTCTCCCGCTAGCCGCCGCCGCTCCTCTAGCCTCCTTCTTTTCTTCTCCCTATAACGAGAGAGAATAAAAGAAGGG